TCCATCGCTCCAGGGAAGGATTTTTTTTTTTTTTTTTTTTTTTTTTTTTGTTGGTTGCCTACGCCCCTCCGTTGACCTTTAGACTGAGTGGATGCAGGTTGGGAAAAGTACCTGTGGTTCGTGAAGCAAGCTGAGTGGCGATTTATCTACGGTATCTCTATCGTCTGCCCGTCACCGTCCTGGGTTAATTCCTCCTCTCCTTTTCACCCATCATGCTCCTCCTCGTCCTCCTCCTCCTTTATTACTAGTATGTATTGACTTCAGTGACACACTGGCAGAATGTGCGGCCTTGACTCTCCTTTTCATCCATCGCGCTCCTCTACCTCCTCTTCCGTACGTCTCCACTGAATTCAGCTTCAGAATAAACTCGACTTCCTCCTCCTTCTCCTCCTCCTTCTCCTCCTCCTCCTCTCTCCTCCTGCTGCTCCTCCTCCTCTTCCATTGGCCTACTAGTTGAACCGCCATCCTTCTCCTTCGCCTCTGCCTCTTTCTTGTCGTCTTCATCCTTATTCTCGTGTTCATCCTTATGGTCGTCTTCTTTTTCGTTTTTGTCCTCCTCTTTTCATCCTTATGGTCGTCTTCTTTTTCGTTTTCGTCCTCCTCTTTTCATCCTTATGGTCGTCTTCATTTTTTCGTTTTTGCCCTCCTCTTTTTCGTACCTTCTTTTTCGTCCTTCCTTTGGTTGAGGGAAAGCGTGAAACACCAGGGCCGCACTGCCAGAGTTGTGCAAGGAGTTTTCAATTTTGTTCCTTGTTTCTGTTGCAGGGGACGTTGCCACCCGCTCTGCTTGGACGAGGTAAAATACTGCTCTTGTACTTCTTTAGTCTTTGACTTTTATGTCATGGCCGCATTTTACTTGTTAAGGTTTGGAATTCCTTTCCTCAGCTCACCCTGGGGTCTCATTTTCGAGAGAGGGATGCTCTGAAAGAGGGAATTTAAGGTCAGACCAGCACACCCCCCCCTCTCTCCCTAAGATGAGGTCGGCTGATGGCCACGACCTCTATTGCTTTCCGCCGCTGGTGGTAGCATGTAGTGATCCCAAGTAGTCTGAAGTAGAGAGGAAAACAACTTGTGATCAATTCCTCGAGCTGAGTTGAGACGATTACATTATACCTTGTTGATTGACATTCTGTTCGATTTCAAATAATTCTGAAGTTGGTGGTTTTTTTTTTTTTTTTTTTTTTTTTTT